CACAAAAAAAGAAATGAAATCAATATTTAGTAGAGCCGCCTTTTGCAGAAATTACAGCCTCTAAACGCTTCCAGTGGGTTCCAATAAGAGTCTGGATTGTGGTTGGAGGTATTTTAGACCATTCCTCTTTACAAAACATCTCTAGTTCATTCAGGTTTGATGGCTTCCGAGCATGGACAGCTCATGGCGAGTCATATTTTACTGTAGCTAGCAGGTGTTTTCCTTGGAATGCTGTGTTCTTTTTCCTCCATGCATAACGCCTCTTGTTATGCCCAAATAACTACATTTTAGTTTCATCAGTCCACAGCACCTTATTCCAAAATGAAGCTGGCTTGTCCAAATGTGCTTTAGCAAACCTCAAGCAGCTCTGTTTGTGCTGTGGGTGAAGAAAAGGCTTCCTCTGCATCACTCTCGCATACAGCATCTCCTTGTGTAAAGTGCGCTGAATGGTAGAATGATGAACAGTGACTCCATCTGCTGCAAGATGATGTTGTAGGTCTTTGGTGCTGGTCTGTGGGTTGACTATGACTGTTCTCACCATTCGTCGCATTTGTCTATCCGAGATTTTTCTTGGTCTGCCACTTTGAGCCTTAACTTGAACTGAGCCTGTGGTCGTCCATTTTCTCAATATGTTCCTAACTGTGGAAACAGACAGCTTACATCTCTGAGAAGGCTTTCTGTATCCTTCCCCTGAACCATGGTGGTGAACAATCTTTGTCTTCAGGTCATTTGAGAGTTGTTTTGAGATCCCCAAGCTGCTACTCTTCAGAGAAAATTAAAAGAGGAGGGAAACTTACAGTTGACCCCCTTAAATACTCTTTCTCATTATTGGATTCACCTGTGTATGTGGGGTCAGGTTTCACTGAGCTTATCAAGCCAGTTTGAGTTCCAATAATTAGTTCTAAAGGTTTTGGAATCAATAAAATGACAACAGTGTCCAAAGTTATGCACCTGCCTGATTTTGTTTAAACAATTATTGCACACTTGCGATCGTGGCTCAAGAGTTGGCAGTTCGTCTTATAATCGGAAGGTTGCCGTTCGAGCCCCGGCTCCGACAGTCT